AGAAGAAGAAGAGAATAAATGAAAGAGAGAAAAGAAAAAAAAAAAAGGGAAGAGAGAGAGATGAAAAGAGATAAGATAGTTCTTATAGATGGTTTCTTTCAGACGGTTATATTAAATTGAAAGTATTCAAGCAATTTTGGAATTCTATGTCTCCTATATCTTCTATGAAATATTGATTTATTTGGGGATTTGGGGATTAGTTATGTACTTTGGCCTATAGCCAACATATCAAGAGCCCAAAATGTTAAACGGACTTATAGAGCCCCAAGTTTGGGCCCAAATTAAACCTAACATCAGACAAAGCTTGGACCGAGTCAGGTCCCTTGTCATTTGTGTAATAAGGTGCACGTAACTACTGAGCTTGAACAAGACAATTATTTTAAAGAGAGATTATTTTGATGGGCAAGGAATACCAGCCCACCAAAATTTTTCGTCGAACCTCTTTGCTCTATACATCTCGAATCACGAATCGAATCAACTTACAAATCAGAGTCTGTGGATTCTTATAGAAGCTTTGGCTTGACGTGTCTCAAAATATTTTTTTTATCCTCACAGCTGACACCTAATCGCTAGTGATACCTTATGATCAAGAGACATTGGATTAGAAAGTGAATTATGTATACCATACATTAATAACTAGCTCCTTATGATAGAACTGTCATAAACTACTATACTCTATGATGTGCAATTCTCCTCTTTGAATCGGCAAATGGGATGACTACGAACTAATTTCCTTCCTTGAAATAACCTTCGTGGGCTTGCAACACGTCGGGGTTGTTCCAGACGGTAGACCTCCGACACTTAAGTCAGTTCTCGAAATACTTAAAATCCATAGAGAGAAGAAAAAACCCATTTCATAAACATGAAACCCTTTTATAAGAAGCTTACATGTTGCCCTAGATCTGCCAAATCTTGTCGCCTAAGTACCACTGTCATCCAAGGTCAGCTCAAGATTTAACTTTACTGCCCAATGTATGCCTTATATTTATCCAATCTTATCCTCGAGTTTGTCTAGAGTCTTCCTGAAGGTCATCCATAAAATTTGCCTTTTTATCTACCTTCAAATTCTTGTATATATATATCTCAGGACATTAACCCATCCCGACACCCGTTCTGTATGTTTGAGCTCTTAAGCACCCATTCCCTGATCATCTTGTCCTAGCTATAAGGTTTACAGGTCGTGCTGAGATGCTTTCAGAGGGCAACCATAGTCTTATGTGGTATTCAAAGTTCTATATGTCCTTTACTATGTCATAAGATCCCAAACCATCATGCTCGAGCTTTAGGACTCTCAACCTGTTACCCGAGTTGATTCCTTGACCGGTCTACTGAGCAACTACTTGAGGCTGGTCCACCGAGCTATTCTAGTCGTTATATCATTCTCTATAATTAGGAAAAACCTAGATATTATTCAATTGTGCTGGAACAATTTAAATATCCTAGTTAAATCCCATAATGATTTTATCATCCATACCGTTGAACCCGAGTCAAAACATAGTCCAACTAGTTTATGAGGTCACATCATTAATTAAAACTTTTAGTTCATTATTTTTTTTTTTTCCCACAGCACTAGTACCATTTTTTTTTTTTTTTTTNNNNTGGAATAAATTCGTACATATATTTTTCCTTTTACATGATTGTTGAAATATCACACATTTCCACAAAAATGACCAAGCTTCACACACCCTTCGGATTGGGTATGGCAAATCTTTGATGGCTAAAAGTTTTATAATGGCCCCCACACTCATTAAAAAAAAGTTGCTAGTGGGCTCATAATTGTAGTGACTAATTATCGTGGAGGTTTCTCTATGAGAAAATTACTCCCCTTACTTTTGCTTATGAACATAATATCATAATTACGAATACCAAAAAGTTTCATCAAAAATACGTTGAGGCAGTTATTGGGGCCTAATTAATAGCTAATTGGATAGAATTATTAATTAGAAAAGAAACTCTCTCTCTCCATATCCGATAGAAATTCATCTCTCATCTTTCTCACCAAAAATATTTCATCTCTCTCATCTCTCATACATAGAAAGCTTCCGCCTCTCATCTCTCTCATCTCTCCATCTCTCTTGTCTCTCATACTCAAAAAGTTTTGCATCTCGGCGACAGAAATTTTAAAATTCGAAATTAGAGACGAAGCAAACAATGTCGAAGTGTAAAGAAATTGATGACAAACCATCCAATTCCAGAAATTGCAGAAATTGGATGCTCCTAAGAAAGCACCAATTCCGAATCCTGCCGAGAATGAGTCGACCGACGACGATGATTTTGTCTCTGAACATAAAATCGAACACAAAGAGAAAAAGGTGATTGACGACCCCAAGAAGAAAAGGGTTCGAAGAAAAAAACGAAGAGAAAAATTTTGATACTCCAAAGTATCCACGCCGATTCGGATTTCAATATTGACGAGGAAGAAGAATCTCATTCGAGTGAAATGGGTTCAGATGTACAAAAAGACGACAAGGACACAGTCACGTATATCCCAAAGTTTGACCCAAAAAATCGTTAGCGTCGACAGAATTTTTTGAAGAAAAGAGAGTTCAAGAAAAAATCGGCCCCACACCAAGGAAGAGGAGGAATCGATAATTCTACTCATCAACGTTAATTTGTTGTTTATCTTATATATATCATTAGTTTTTTTCGTCATGTTATAAGTATATTGCATTTGAGAAAAGTTTATAGGGTGTTCATATTATGTATATATATACAATTTTTGTAATCGTGTGACAAGCTTAATCCAGAATCAAATATGTTTATATGTTGTTTATTTTATGTTTATATATACACTTTTTTGTGCTCCTGTTATGGGGTTATTGCAGAATAAAAAATATGTTTATATGTTGTTTATCTTATGTATATGTATATGTACAATTAACCCAACATATCTATATATTATGTCAAGGTATCATATTTAAATGCCTTGGTAAAGTTTAGAGAGTGTTTATCTTATGTATATATATACAATTTATATTCTCATGTTACAAGCTTGTTGCAGAATCAAAGATGTTTATTTGTTGTTTATTTTATGTATATATATATATACACTTTTTGTTCTCATGTTATCAGGTAATTGCAAAATAAAAAATATGTTTATATGTTGTTTATCTTATGTATATATATGTACAATTAACACAGCCATATGTATATATTATGTCAAGAAATGGAAGAACGATGAAGATGCTATGAGTTTTTTTTTTTTTTTGTTAATGCAATAATCTCGTTTGATAAACAAATTTTAATTGGAGAGAGAAATATGGAGAGAGATAAAGACTCTCACCAATTAATTGCTTGTTTAGTGGTTGGAGAGAGAATGAGAGAAATATGGAGAGAGATAAGGCTCTCAACAATTAATTGCGTATTTATTGGTTGGAGAGAGAAGGAGATCACAATGTGAGAGAATTAATCTCGTATTTGTGAAAAAAAAAGCACCACCAAGTCCTATTTTGATTAAACTCTTTCCAAGTAGTATATATGTTAATATTTGTTATATAGAGTATATGTATGTAAATTTCCCTTTCTCTATTGATCAAATTAGTGGGCCTGTTTCTTGATAAGGTATGGTGGGCCTTTGGTAGGCTCAGTTTGAGTGGGAAGGTACTCAAATAATACATAAGCATCTCTTTCCTACGTGTAAAAAGTTCACTCACTGCTGTTCACAGTTTTCAGATAACAGATACTATCATACTAATTGAGGATAGGAGATTAGTTGTTGAATTTAATCTTTAATATTTATTAATTGCGGGATAATGACAATTAAATGTACTAATATATTTATATTTAAGCATTCAACTGATTGTCAATGTCCCTTTCTTTTCATGGTCACTATGACCTTACTCAACATAATATCTTTGCCCATAATTTTGTATTTGTTGGAAAAACTCAAGTCATACGTTTGCCATCTAACTAAATATCTTGCCAGCAGCCCAACACTGACTAGAGAAAATATCGGGTTTTGCTCGATTATTGGCGCGGAATTATGAGGCCTGTTTCAGGGTCTCCAGTTGGCTTGGGATATCGGGGATCGTAAGATTACTGTTGAAATGGACAATAAGAGCATAATAGATATGGTGCAACAGGAGCAGTACAACGGGCCGCTGGGAAGTGTTTTGAAGGGAATACAAGAGGTCCTAGGTCGTGCATGGGTGGTAGAGATTATTCATGGTTATAGGAAGTCAATTTTGTGACGGACTACTTGGCATTCTTGCCGGCCAACAGTACAAGAAAACACTTCAATTCCAACGAAAAATTTCAACGGCAAGAATTTTCATTGGAAATTCCAATAAATATTCCAACAAACTTAATTTTATGTTGGAATAAGTGTTGGATGGTTGAGGAATTCCAACGGATTTTTTCCGTTGTAATACTTGTAGGAATTTATTTTCATAGGATTTTCTGTTGGATTTTAGCTATTCCAACGGCCAATTTTCCCATGAATTTTTATACGTAGGAATATCCATTGGAAAAGCTATTCCAACGGAAAATATAAAGAATTCCAACGGAAAATTTCCGTTGGAATGTAAGAGTTTTTTTATAGTGCAAGAGCCCGCAGGTTGGCCTTCAGAGGTTGGAGAGTCCACCGCCGAGGGTGGGCATATGGTTACATCATGATTTGGTCGGAGTGTCTTATCCTCGGCAAATTTTTACTTAGGCTAGGCCTAGCCTCTCTTCTTTGTAAAAAAAAAAAAAAAAAAAAATCTATTATTTGTTTTTAATATTCTTCAAGTTTTTGGAAAATGTTTTTTGTGATGTAAAATATAAATATTTTTGGGTAATTTAGTTCGTGGTCAAAGAACATGCCATAGCCCAGATGACTATAGGGCTCGATTGTTTATGAAATAATTTGTTCAAATTGAGTTATTTTGGTTAACTATAGTTAATTTTGAAAAAGATGGTATGGTTAGTTATAGTGGAATTTTAAGAATGTATTAAAATAATATTTAAAATAAAATAATTAAAATTGATTTGATATAAAAGTAAGAGATAAATGAATGGAAATGATTGGAAATGATAGGTAGTTAAAATTATGTGAGTGGATGAATAGTTAATTAAAATTGATGTGATATGTAAGAATGATTAGTTTGTATTATTTAATTATATGAATAATATTAAAGATGGTGGGGTTGAGTTAAAGTTGAGTTAGATTTTAAGTTGAAATAAAAGTGAGTAAATTATTTTGTAAACAATCACCCCTAAATATAGTAAGCCTAGTTTAGCTGTATTTTTTCAATAGATATGCATTATTCTATATTTAAATGTAATTCTAAAAAAAGAATGGAAAAAAAACCATAATATCTATTTAAAAAGCAATGACGAGTCGATCCGACTAACGAGCTAGGCTGAATAAAATAAGCACCTCTCACAATCACATTTGGTTATAAAAGCAACTCTCCATCTCGTCCCTTACAACACAAAATTCATCAAAACACTATCTCAAACAAAATCCAGAGCTTAAAAAAAAAAAAAAATGGCAATAATAGAAGGTAATAATAATAACAATAATAATAATGATAACATAAGCATGAAAAAAGTGGTGGTTGCAGTGGATGAAAGTGAAGAAAGCATGTATGCCTTATCATGGTGCCTCAGCAATCTCTTATCCGAGAAAAATATCAATCCAAACAGCACCTTAATCCTTCTCTACATAAAGCCACCTGTCCCTGTGTACTCAGCTCTAGACGTCACAGGTTATATTACATTTTTTCAATCCTTAATTTTTCTAACATTTTATTATTATTATTATTATTATTATTGTTATTATTATTATTATTATTATTATGTAATTGCTTTGGTAAATATTTACGTTTGTTAGGATATCTTTTGGCTGGGGATGAAATTGCAAATATTGAGAAATACAACAGGAGTTTGGCAAATTCAGTGATGAGTAGGGCAGAGGCAGTTTGTAGAAACTTCAATACTACAGTATGTGCTCCGTTTAATTTTTTTTTTTTTTTTATATATATTAATTAAATTTTAAATTACGGTTTTATTTTATTTTAATTTTATTGAGTCATGGAAATTTGGTCGTCAGGTCAAAGTGGAGAAGAAAGTTGGGAATGGAGATGCAAAGGATGTAATATGCACAGCCGTTGATAAACTAAAAGCAGACATTTTGGTAATGGGAAGCCATGATTATGGTTTCTTCAAGAGGTAATTAACCAACTTTCTGAACTTTTTCAAAATTATAAACATATATGCCTCTCATTTCGGTTTCGAATGGTGAAAAGTTGTTCTTGAGATGCAATTTGCGACGATTGCAGGGCTATTCTGGGAAGTGTGAGTGATTACTGTGCGAAGCATGTTAAGTGTCCATTGGTGGTCGTCAAGCGTCCCAAGTCGGCCTAGCATTGTGAGAAATAACTAAATGTTGTTGTTATAGTGTCCTTGTGTTTGTTTCGTGGTTTAATGTTATGGATAGTATAAGGTTTTATGTGCATAGTTCAAGTTCTTGCAGCTTCAATGTAAGTCTGGAAAAAGGTGTATTTGTTGGAATTAGCCTTATGCGAAAACCATCGCTATATCCCAAGAGCTTTCATATCA